GTTGTATATATATATGCTACGTAACGGATCGTTTGCATTTGCTTCGCTTTCCGTCATAGACGTAATACATCCGCAAACATGTTCGCCATTTCGTTAAAAAGGCCAGTAGAGGGTGAAGTTGGCTACAGCTTACATAACTAGCCATTCATATAACGAATTTTCAAAATAAGGCGCGCTATATGGAAAGTGACCGAATAAGTAGTCCGATCCGTACCATTTTCAATAGCTCTCAACCTTCGCTTAAATATTTCAGTGTACCAAACTTTAACGAAATATTTGCAAAAATTCGGATAGGCATGCTTAACACAAATGGGAATAGGATTCGGTATATCAAACCTTAACGAAATGTACCGAAAATTCGGTGCTATAGACGGAAAGACATGCTTAAAACAAGTTGATGAAACGGTTCAATGTACCAAATGTAATATCGAGAAAATTCGGTTATATGGACAAAGAGACATATTTAAAAGAAATCAAAGAAGATGGAAGAAGGAAAGTGCAGCTCGAAGTTGCAGTTACCCGCGTAAACTTAATACGCCTTCACAATAAGCTATAGATAGAAAACTGAAAATAAAACATTTGTTAATCACATAGCATTGTTCTCGTACTGGCCAGGAATCACGTTTTTCAAGCGTGTTAACGATTTTAATTGTATTTCGATTTGATATTGAAATACAAACATAGTCAAAATCATAATGGACATCGGATGAAAGATGAAATAATTGATTCTGTATGCTTATGGATGTGAAGAGCCCACATTAAACTGGTCTCGTGACCTTTACATCAACGAATAAATATAGAAAAGTTTACGGTTTCCCATAGAATTATCCGTAGGGAAGACCATTTCGGTCACAATTGTTGAGTTAGCATTCGTTAATACGCACAAATGTTTATGTAACTCAAGATACCCCGTAACCCGGAAATGCGATAGTTTTCACTAGTTTAAGCTGTGAATACACCACTCAGTGTAACGGTAGTAATATTGGTTTGTTATAAATACACGTTCAATAATGATTAAGTCTGCCTACAAAAAGATCAGTTTATGAGCATAGTGGTCCTTATTAAGTCAATCACCTAAACTAGAATGTGGAAAAGCTAATTCCCTATATATGTATTGGATTCCGGAGAGATTTAAGATCTAATCCGACTTGTTTTGGTGCCACCTCTTGCTTATAAATATAGTTGATCTTGATCTTTTCAAATTTTTTTTCATACTTCCTTCACATTTACTTTTTTTGTATGTAACAACGAATCCCTTTAAGGCTAAAACAAAAAAAAAAAAATAAATATATATATATATATATATTTATATATATATATATATACATATATATATATACATATATATATATATATATATATGTATATATGTATATGTATATTTAGAAACAACTACGTCAGTCATTTCCCAAGACATTCATCATATAATTCAGCGAAGTTTGCCAAAACATGAAAATCTTAATCCCGCAATGGAAAAGAAATATATGAAAAACTTTAAGTAAAACGTATTTATTAAATTATATTTCGTCGCCCGTATCTTGTTTGCCACTTAAGCACAAGACTAGGTTAATAAAACGCTGAAAAAATTGATAGAATTCAAGTTATTAAGTAAGACGAGTTTTTTTGTTTTAATATGTGATTGAAAAAAATTTATTTACCTAAACTCAAGCATTAATTGATAAGCATATCACATAGAAAACAAAAAATTATTTCATTAGCTTATCATCATGGAAATGAGAGATGCTACTTAACGTATTCTCTATGCATTATCAAAATGGATTTCTTCATCATAACAGACGAGATGAAAAGTCATCAAAAAAGGAAAAATAAAAAAATAAAACGTTTTATATATGTCAGTGCAAGTGACACACAAAGAAAATCCAGATCATAGTAATCATCAGATGAATATCGATTAAATTGCAAATAAACACTTTAAAAAGAGAAAAGGCTTTGAATTACTTTTCATTTTTTTTTTTTTTTTTTTTTTTTTTTGTTTTTCAATAGAAGCTACACATAATAAGTAAAGAAAACTCAATTCTTTTGCAGATTAGAATAAGAAAGGAATTGAAATAAAGAAAAAAGAAGGAAGAAAAGAAAAAAATTAAATAATGACTTTTCGAAATTTCTTATGTTCGTCTCTTTTCATACGAATAACGTAAACAAAGGCAAAGAAATGAAAAGCATAAAGAAACATAATACACATAAGACTTAAATCAAGAGAAAAGAACCAAAAAAGCAGATATGATCATCTTTCATACAAGAGTTTTAGTTCATAAGCGTTATAGCCAGTTATGCTTTTGATTCATTTCGTTCGTCAAAAGTGTGTTATTTCTTCTACGGTGCATGTAACAATTAGCTATTGATTCCACCTAAAAAGAGGTTGCTTCCTTTATTAATGCTCTACGTTCACACATATCGGCAACGAAGCAATTTATGTTTTATAAGCCGATAAATCTTGCGAGAGCTAGCATGACGCATATATAAGACACATATTCATCCAGGCATCTCTGCTCTTTTCATATCAACCATTAACCATCGAAATTAACGTGAGAAGGCTCATAAAATTTGTAGAGTATAGATCGGAACCTAATTAGTCTATCTGTCCGTCTGTAAAGTGTCTTGTGGTATGCAATCCACCGTTCGTAAACGTCCATCTAACGTCTTCAAATTTACCTAAAACATTAGAAGGGGTTTTGCTCGCAGGCTGGTAGAGTTGATGAACCAAACCCATGAAAGACTAAGGCCACACAAGTATAAAAATTTTTACACATATGAAGAGTGACTGTAGAATAATAAAGGCGAATTGGCCACGCCCACGCAATATTATAGACTATCACAATTTTACTCTCTTCAAATCTGTTTTAAGATAAAAGTGCAAATTAAAAAAAGGGTATCGAAAATTCGAAAGCAGCCGAATAAAATTTTCTGCTTTCTTTGCGCGTGCAGCTGGCTGGGCTTTAAGGAGAACTCAAAGGTTAGATTGTGCGTTCATTCATTCATTTATATATTTGTAATAATTATCGCCTGGTAATCACTAAAACTAATAGAATAACACTTTTCTAAATTTAATACACCGGCTGTGAACGGGTGGTGAACGCTCACTCATCTGTCAAGATACATTATTTTGAATGTTTTAGAGAACGCTAAAGGCATAACTACATTGTAGATTTTAG